GTTTAAATACTGTTTGAATGCAGTTTAAATACTGTTTGAATGCAGTTTAAATACTGTTTGAATGCAGTTTAAATACTGTTTGAATGCAGTTTGAATGCAGTTTGAATACTGTTTGAATGCTGTTTAAATACTGTTTGAATGCTGTTTAAATGCAGTTTGAATGCAGTTTGAATACTGTTTGAATGCAGTTTGAATGCAGTTTGAATGCAGTTTGAATGCAGTTTGAATGCAGTTTGAATGCAGTTTGAATGCAGTTTGAATGCAGTTTAAATACTGTTTGAATGCAGTTTAAATACTGTTTGAATGCAGTTTAAATGCAGTTTGAATGCAGTTTGAATACTGTTTGAATACAGTTTGAATACTGTTTGAATGCAGTTTAAATACTGTTTGAATGCTGTTTAAATGCAGTTTGAATGCAGTTTGAATACTGTTTGAATGCTGTTTAAATACAGTTTAAATACTGTTTGAATGCAGTTTGAATACTGTTTGAATGCAGTTTAAATACAGTTTAAATACTGTTTGAATGCAGTTTGAATACTGTTTGAATGCAGTTTAAATACTGTTTGAATGCAGTTTAAATACTGTTTGAATGCTGTTTAAATACTGTTTGAATGCAGTTTGAATACTGTTTGAATGCTGTTTAAATGCAGTTTGAATGCAGTTTGAATGCAGTTTGAATGCAGTTTAAATACTGTTTGAATGCAGTTTGAATGCAGTTTAAATACTGTTTGAATGCAGTTTAAATACTGTTTGAATGCAGTTTGAATACTGTTTGAATGCAGTTTGAATGCAGTTTAAATACTGTTTGAATGCAGTTTGAATACTGTTTGAATGCAGTTTGAATGCAGTTTAAATACTGTTTGAATGCAGTTTCAATGCAGTTTGAATGCAGTTTCAATGCAGTTTCAATGCAGTTTAAATACCGTTTGAATGCAGTTTGAATACTGTTTGAATGCAGTTTGAATACTGTTTAAATACTGTTTGAATGCAGTTTGAATGCAGTTTGAATGCAGTTTAAATACTGTTTGAATGCAGTTTGAATACTGTTTGAATGCAGTTTGAATGCAGTTTGAATACAGTTTGAATGCAGTTTAAATACTGTTTGAATGCAGTTTGAATACAGTTTGAATGCAGTTTGAATACTGTTTGAATGCAGTTTGAATACTGTTTGAATGCTGTTTGAATGCAGTTTGAATACTGTTTGAATGCTGTTTAAATACTGTTTGAATGCTGTTTGAATACTGTTTGAATGCAGTTTGAATGCAGTTTAAATACTGTTTGAATGCAGTTTGAATGCAGTTTAAATACTGTTTGAATGCAGTTTGAATACTGTTTGAATACTGTTTGAATGCAGTTTGAATACTGTTTGAATGCAGTTTGAATACTGTTTGAATGCAGTTTGAATGCAGTTTGAATACTGTTTGAATGCAGTTTGAATGCAGTTTGAATACTGTTTGAATGCAGTTTGAATACTGTTTGAATGCTGTTTGAATACTGTTTGAATACTGTTTGAATGCAGTTTGAATGCAGTTTGAATACTGTTTGAATGCAGTTTAAATACTGTTTGAATGCAGTTTAAATACTGTTTGAATGCAGTTTGAATGCAGTTTGAATGCAGTTTGAATGCAGTTTGAATGCAGTTTGAATGCAGTTTGAATGCTGTTTAAATGCAGTTTGAATGCAGTTTGAATACTGTTTGAATGCAGTTTGAATGCAGTTTGAATGCAGTTTGAATGCAGTTTGAATACTGTTTAAATGCAGTTTGAATGCAGTTTGAATACTGTTTGAATGCAGTTTGAATGCAGTTTGAATGCAGTTTAAATACAGTTTAAATACTGTTTGAATGCAGTTTAAATACTGTTTGAATGCAGTTTGAATGCTGTTTGAATGCAGTTTGAATACTGTTTGAATGCAGTTTGAATGCAGTTTGAATACTGTTTGAATGCAGTTTGAATACTGTTTGAATGCAGTTTGAATGCTGTTTGAATGCAGTTTGAATACTGTTTGAATGCAGTTTGAATGCAGTTTGAATACTGTTTGAATGCAGTTTGAATACTGTTTGAATGCTGTTTAAATGCAGTTTGAATGCAGTTTGAATACTGTTTGAATGCAGTTTGAATGCAGTTTGAATGCAGTTTAAATACTGTTTGAATGCAGTTTGAATACTGTTTGAATGCAGTTTAAATACAGTTTAAATACTGTTTGAATGCAGTTTGAATACTGTTTGAATGCAGTTTAAATACTGTTTGAATGCAGTTTGAATGCAGTTTGAATGCAGTTTAAATACTGTTTGAATGCTGTTTAAATGCAGTTTGAATGCAGTTTGAATACTGTTTGAATGCAGTTTGAATGCAGTTTGAATGCAGTTTGAATGCAGTTTGAATACTGTTTGAATGCAGTTTGAATGCAGTTTGAATGCAGTTTGAATACTGTTTGAATGCAGTTTGAATGCAGTTTGAATGCAGTTTAAATACTGTTTGAATGCAGTTTAAATACTGTTTGAATGCAGTTTAAATACTGTTTGAATGCAGTTTAAATACTGTTTGAATGCAGTTTGAATGCAGTTTGAATACTGTTTGAATGCTGTTTAAATACTGTTTGAATGCTGTTTAAATGCAGTTTGAATGCAGTTTGAATACTGTTTGAATGCAGTTTAAATACAGTTTAAATACTGTTTGAATGCAGTTTGAATACTGTTTGAATGCAGTTTGAATGCAGTTTGAATGCAGTTTAAATACTGTTTGAATGCAGTTTAAATACTGTTTGAATGCAGTTTAAATGCAGTTTGAATGCAGTTTGAATACTGTTTGAATACAGTTTGAATACTGTTTGAATGCAGTTTAAATACTGTTTGAATGCTGTTTAAATGCAGTTTGAATGCAGTTTGAATACTGTTTGAATGCTGTTTAAATACAGTTTAAATACTGTTTGAATGCAGTTTGAATACTGTTTGAATGCAGTTTAAATACAGTTTAAATACTGTTTGAATGCAGTTTGAATACTGTTTGAATGCAGTTTAAATACTGTTTGAATGCAGTTTAAATACTGTTTGAATGCTGTTTAAATACTGTTTGAATGCAGTTTGAATACTGTTTGAATGCTGTTTAAATGCAGTTTGAATGCAGTTTGAATGCAGTTTGAATGCAGTTTAAATACTGTTTGAATGCAGTTTGAATGCAGTTTAAATACTGTTTGAATGCTGTTTAAATACTGTTTGAATGCAGTTTAAATACTGTTTGAATGCAGTTTGAATACTGTTTGAATGCAGTTTGAATGCAGTTTAAATACTGTTTGAATGCAGTTTGAATACTGTTTGAATGCAGTTTGAATGCAGTTTAAATACTGTTTGAATGCAGTTTCAATGCAGTTTGAATGCAGTTTCAATGCAGTTTCAATGCAGTTTAAATACCGTTTGAATGCAGTTTGAATACTGTTTGAATGCAGTTTGAATACTGTTTAAATACTGTTTGAATGCAGTTTGAATGCAGTTTAAATACTGTTTGAATGCAGTTTGAATACTGTTTGAATGCAGTTTGAATGCAGTTTGAATACAGTTTGAATGCAGTTTAAATACTGTTTGAATGCAGTTTGAATACAGTTTGAATGCAGTTTGAATACTGTTTGAATGCAGTTTGAATACTGTTTGAATGCTGTTTGAATGCAGTTTGAATACTGTTTGAATGCTGTTTAAATACTGTTTGAATGCTGTTTGAATACTGTTTGAATGCAGTTTGAATGCAGTTTAAATACTGTTTGAATGCAGTTTGAATGCAGTTTAAATACTGTTTGAATGCAGTTTGAATACTGTTTGAATACTGTTTGAATGCAGTTTGAATACTGTTTGAATGCAGTTTGAATACTGTTTGAATGCAGTTTGAATGCAGTTTGAATACTGTTTGAATGCAGTTTGAATGCAGTTTGAATACTGTTTGAATGCAGTTTGAATACTGTTTGAATGCTGTTTGAATACTGTTTGAATACTGTTTGAATGCAGTTTGAATGCAGTTTGAATGCAGTTTGAATACTGTTTGAATACTGTTTGAATGCAGTTTGAATACTGTTTGAATGCAGTTTGAATGCAGTTTAAATACTGTTTGAATGCAGTTTGAATACTGTTTGAATACTGTTTGAATGCAGTTTGAATACTGTTTGAATGCAGTTTGAATACTGTTTGAATGCAGTTTGAATGCAGTTTGAATACTGTTTGAATGCAGTTTGAATGCAGTTTGAATACTGTTTGAATGCAGTTTGAATACTGTTTGAATGCTGTTTGAATACTGTTTGAATACTGTTTGAATGCAGTTTGAATGCAGTTTGAATGCAGTTTGAATACTGTTTGAATGCTGTTTGAATACTGTTTGAATGCAGTTTGAATACTGTTTGAATGCTGTTTGAATGCAGTTTGAATGCAGTTTGAATGCAGTTTGAATACTGTTTGAATGCTGTTTGAATACTGTTTGAATGCAGTTTGAATGCAGTTTGAATACTGTTTGAATGCAGTTTGAATGCAGTTTAAATACTGTTTGAATGCAGTTTAAATACTGTTTGAATGCAGTTTAAATACTGTTTGAATGCAGTTTAAATACTGTTTGAATGCAGTTTGAATACTGTTTGAATGCAGTTTAAATACTGTTTGAATGCAGTTTAAATACTGTTTGAATGCAGTTTGAATACTGTTTGAATGCAGTTTAAATACTGTTTAAATACTGTTTGATTGCAGTTTGAATACTGTTTGAATGCAGTTTAAATACTGTTTGAATGCAGTTTAAATACTGTTTGAATGCAGTTTAAATACCCTTAAAGTAGTAGTGGAGTGTTTATATACTGTTTAAATACTGCTGTGTCCTCAGGAGGAAAGCAGCTATCAATCAGTCCGTATATATACAGACTACTTTCTCCACTCATACACAGAAACATTTGATCTATTTATTGGAGATTAGTACTAGAAAAACCCAATTGCCCCCCAAAATAAATGGCGTTTTTCTTCTGTGTGTCTGCAGGGAGGTGTTGGATTGTCCCCAGACTCTGAGGTTTTGGGGGGGGGGCGCACGGCGCTGGACAATAAGACGTCTCTGCTGAACACGCCCCCCCCACGCTCCTTCTGCGGCCCCCGCTTCAGAGACTACAACCCGTTCAACTACTGCGACAGCATCGGAGCGATGGAGGACGACGGTGGGACCCCAAACCTTATTCTGTTAATTATCTGTTGCAATTCAAAAGTCAAGAAGTGCATTTCAAATCTTACTTTAGTTTTATATTTCAAAATAAAACACCCTAAGAGGCATGGTATACTTACAGTATGACGGGAGAGGACGCTGACGCTTGTTTGTTCGCCGCTTCTCCTACGCCTCAGTTCTTATCTGCTTTTAAGCTATAGTTACACGGCTAAACTTTGAGTCTGTTCAACAAGTGTTTGTATATCTTAAACCTCGTGATTATTGACGGTTTTGGACCTGGCGGCTGTCGGGACTCACCTGCTGTATCGCCCAAATTCGCCGACTATCTCCGGCTGACTGCTTGCCTCTCTCCGGCTGACTGCTTGCCTCTCTCCGGCTGACTGCTTGCCTCTCTCCGGCTGACTGCTTGCCTCTCTCCGGCTGACTGCTTGCCTCTCTCCGGCTGACTGCTTGCCTCTCTCCGGCTGCTCTCCGGCTGACTGCTTGCCTCTCTCCGGCTGCTCTCCGGCTGACTGCTTGCCTCTCTCCGGCTGCTCTCCGGCTGACTGCTTGCCTCTCTCCGGCTGCTCTCCGGCTGACTGCTTGCCTCTCTCCGGCTGCTCTCCGGCTGACTGCTTGCCTCTCTCCGGCTGACTGCTTGCCTCTCTCCCGCCGACTGCTTGCCTCTCTCCCGCCGACTGCTTGCCTCTCTCCGGCTGACTGCTTGCCTCTCTCCGGCCGACTGCTTGCCTCTCTCCGGCCGACTGCTTGCCTCTCTCCGGCCGACTGCTTGCCTCTCTCCGGCCGACTGCTTGCCTCTCTCCGGCTGACTGCTTGCCTCTCTCCGGCTGACTGCTTGCCTCTCTCCGGCTGACTGCTTGCCTCTCTCCGGCTGACTGCTTGCCTCTCTCCCGCTACTAGTGTGATAGCAGGCGGACTCCCAAGCCTCTGTTTCATTCCCGGACGTGAGGTATACTAACGGGATAGCCTTCCAGCTGTCCCGTTGCTGTTAGCCCTCGCTGCTAAGCACCGCTACCAAACTTCTTCGGCGCCCGACCTGTTGACATGCTCTCCCCTACCACATGAGAGCCTTTCCCTAGACCTTTTATTTATTACCACCCTTTTATTTTATTTTATTTGTATTGTTTGTTTTTTATTGCTTTTTATTCATTCTACCGTGTTGTGTACTGTTTTTATACTGATCATGCTCACTGCTTGTAGCACTTCGGGATTTGAAGTCAAATATGAAGTGCTTTATAAATGAAACCCATTAGTAAAGGTCTGGGTTTTTCAAAATAAGTGACTGTATCTTTAATGCATGTTTTCACCGTGTATACACATGTTTTCTGTGCAGGAAGCAGACAGGAGTCTGTGGAAAACAAGATGAGCCCCAAGAGCTTCCCAGGTATGTGCTCTGTTTTTCAAAATAAAATACCCAAGAACACTAGTACCCTTACAAGCAGTTTAGAATGAGGCTTGTATTTCAAAATAAAAGCCTATAAGCAACTAACTATATCATGACGGCAAGCTTAGAATGATGCTTGTTTTTCAAAATAAAACACCCAACAACAGTATCCTTACAGGCAGTTTAGAATGATGCTTATTTTTCAAAATAAAAGCCTAAGCAGTTAACTATATTATTAAAGCAAGCTCAGAATGATGCTTGTTTTTCAAAATAAAAGCCTAAGCAAATTACTAAATTACGACAGCAAGCTCAGAATGATGCTTGTTTTTCAAATAAAAGCCTTAGAAGCTTACTATATTATTAAAGCAAGCTCAGAATTATGCTTGTTTTTCAAAATAAAAGCCTAAGCAGTTAAATATATTATTAAAGCAAGCTCAGAATGATGCTTGTTTTTCAAAATAAAAGCCTTAGAAGCTTACTATATTATTATAGCAAGCTCAGAATGATGCTTGTTTTTCAAAATAAAAGCCTAAGCAAATAACTAAATTATGACAGCAAGCTCAGGTTTATGCTTTTTTTCAAAATAAAAGCCTTGGCAATTAACTATACCATGATTACAGCAAGCTCATGTTTTTTTTCAAAATAAAAGCTTACTATATCATTAAAACAAGCTCAGAATGAGGCTTGTTTTTCAAAATAGAGGCCCAAAATGCAACAATACAACACAATAGTCAAAGTTATTTTTTTGTTTATTAATGGGACCCTCCTCCTCTTTTAGTGGGTCCCGTGGAGCAGCTGTTTGTTTGTTTTTCAAAATAAAAGCCCCAAAATGCAACACAATAGAGTAAAAGGAGATTTTAAAATGTGTTAATGGGACCCTCCTCCTCTTTTAGTGGTCCCCGCGGAGCAGCTGCAGCTGGTGGGGGATCTTCTGAAGGAGCTTTCTATTGGCCAGGCAGAGGAGAGGCGTGGCCAAGAGGAGAAGAGGCGGGGCCTAGAGGAGAGGAGGGGCACCCTGCTGGAGCTCCTCAAAGTGTCCCGAGAGGACAGTATGGTGGTCTGGGAGGAACATTTCAAAACCATGTTGCTGCTGCTGCTGGAGACGCTGGGAGACAAAGACGTGAGTGAGAGAAACTGATCAATGATTATATGATCATTTGACACGACAGTGAGTATCCGTCTCCAGGGTAACTCGAGACGGATGTTAAGTATGATGCTTTTATTTTTGAAATGTCCTTCTTCTTCCGTAGCACACGATCCGGGCTCTGGCTCTCCGAGTCCTGAAGGAGATCCTGAGGAACCAGCCGGGGCGTTTCAAGAACTACGCAGAGCTCACCATCATGAAGACGCTGGAGGCGCACAAAGACTCACACAAGGAGGTGAGCGGCGTTTACAGGGGGCATTGAACGCACCACAAGTCTGTTTCTACCACTGAATGAAAACAAGTCGTGGATCCGATGTAACACTCACAACTTTAAAGATCAAGACAAAGAGGAATCAATAAAAACACAGGTCAAATATTATAGTATAATAAGAGACAGGTTACCGTGCAGAGTCTATGCCTCTGGACCAAGAGAGTCTCACAGGTTAAATACACTTCAAACAGCTAAACGTTGCATCTTCTGTCCCTCAGACTTTAAAGAATCCCAGGTTCCATGACCCTTATCAAAAAGGTATAATTGTTATAAGGACCATGGGTGTTACAAAGTTGACTAAACCACCCAAAGTAAAGCCCTTTTGAATTGTATTGGTATTGAGATTACCCATGATGCCCTGTGCTCTGCAGGTGGTGCGAGCAGCAGAGGAAGCGGCCTCCACGCTGGCGTCCTCCCTGCACCCGGAGCAGTGCATCAAGGTGCTCTGCCCCATCGTGCAGACGGCCGACTACCCCGTCAACCTGGCCGCCATCAAGGTGCAGACAAGGGCCATCGAACGCATCGCCAAGGACCCTCTGCACCTGCTGCTGAACGACATCATCCCGGGACTCCTGCAGGTGGTTATTACTCTAACCATTCAAGTTCATATTAAACACTAACGAACCATTCAAGTAGGTTATTATAACATTATTCAAATGTGTGTTCCTGCAGGGCTACGACAACACGGAGAGCAGCGTGAGGAAGGCGAGCGTCTTCTGCCTCGTGGCCATTTACTCTGTGATCGGAGAGGAGCTGAAGCCGTACCTCGCCCAGCTCACAGGGAGCAAGGTAACACCACTTCCTGTTTGAAACATGGCTCAATAAGGAGAGAGTGTGTGTGTGTGTGTGTGTGTGTGTGTGTGTGTGTGTGTGTGTGTGTGTGTGTGTGTGTGTGTGTGTGTGTGTGTGTGTGTGTGTGTGTGTGTGTGTGTGTGTGTGTGTGTGTGTGTGTGTGTGTGTGTGTGTGTGTGTGTGTGTGTGTGTGTGTGTGTGTGTGTGTGTGATACAAAGAGGTGTGTGTGTTAATACCTGCTGTCTCCCCCCCCACAGATGAAGCTTCTCAACCTGTACATCAAGAGAGCTCAAACCTCCACCTCCACCAGCAGCAGCTCCTCCGACATCTCCTCCTACTGACCCTCCTCTTCATCACCCCTCCTCTTCATCACTTATTCACTCCTAAAACCCTCCTCTTCCTCCTCACTCCATTCCTTTAATAACTTTCCAAAACCTTCCTCTTCCTCACTTCTTCACTCCTAAAACCTTCCTCTTCCTCACTACTTCACTTTCCATTCCGAACACCTCCTCTTCCTCCCTCCTCTTCCTCTTCAGTTCTAGTGAGCGTCGAGGTGAAGTCTCTCACCTGAGAATCAGTGTTTTGAAATCCTCTCCTTTGCTTTGACACATCAAACCTTCTCGTACTGAATGTAAAGACTCTCCTCTCCTGAAACACTGCCTCACTTTTTAACGTGCATTTGATGAAGTTTGAGAAAAGACAGTGGCTGAGAAAGAAGGGTCCAGAAACACTCTGAAATCTGACGCGTTTGAATGCGTCTAACAGAAGAAAGGGTGTTCACTTCCTGCAGTCATGTTCTTGTTAGTTTAGGGATCATTTGGCTGGCCAATGGTTTGAGTTTGGGCTCCAGTGTTTGTATTTAAAGTAGTGGGAATCATTGTTTCTGTGTGACAGCTAAATCACATTTAGTATTAATATATAAACCAAGGAAATAGGATCCAATCATGTTGCCTTTGCACAGCTGAGTTACAAATCAGTGTTATTTTGAAATCTACATAATTAACAGTCTTAACGAGCTGTAGGGATTTCAGTTAGAAAAAAATACAATGCACATATTTCAAAAATCACACACACACACACACACATAGTCTCACACACACACACACACACACACACACACACACACATAGTCTCACACACACACACACACACACACACACACACACACACACACACACACACACACACACACACACACACACACATAGTCTCACACACACGCACACACATAGTCTCACACACACACACACATAGTCTCACACACACACACACATAGTCTCACACACACACACACAGTCTCACACACACACACACAGTCTCACACACACACACACACAGTCTCACACACACACTCACAGTCTCACACACACACACACAGTCTCAGACATACACACAGTCTCACACACAGTCTCAGACATACACACAGTCTCACACACACACACACACTCAGTCACACACACACACACTCACAGTCTCACAGTCTCACACACACACACACTCACAGAGTCACACACGCACTCACAGTCTCACACACACACAGTCTCACACACACACACATAGTCTCACACACACACAGTCTCACACACACACACTCAGTCTCACACACACACTCACGGTCTCACAGAGTCACACATGCACTCAGTCTCACACACACACACACACACACTCAGTCTCACACACACACTCACGGTCTCACACACACACACACTCTCACAGAGTCACACATGCACTCAGTCTCACACACACACAGTCTCACACACACACTCAGTCTCACACACACACAGTCTCACACACACTGTCTCACACACAATGTTATTATTATTAATTCATATTAAAATAACCACTAATTAGAATATTATTTAAAATATTTATTTATTTTCTAAACACCAAAAATCGGCCAAAAATGTGTGATTATTTTGTCTTGAATCTTATTCTCTTAATTTCTGGATATATATTATTACAATTTAAATCCAGAATATTCCTCATTAAATAATAATTATTAGATAAATTGTCCCAAAGCTTTTCATTCTGACATTTAATTTTACATGTTTGATTACACTTTAGGGACCAAGAACACACACACACAATCTCCTCAAATAGTATATACTTGTATTTAACATTGATTTATTGAAATGAAACTGTTAAGCGTAACATGGACCTAACCTTGTCATCTTTAAATATATATAAAAAATAATTTAGTGGATTTGTTATTAATTTGAAGGTTTAAAAAAACTCTCAAAACATATTATAATTATTAGAAAAATGAAAGAGGGAATTTAACACTACGTCAACACTACTGTGATTATTCCAAAAATACTGTCATTTAAGTTATATATCACAAAGTCACCTATAATAAGTGTTTTATTGTATTCTGTTTTAACGAAGGAGAAACTCAGCTGTTCCTAAATTGAATGTAAACGACTTTTAAAATGTGAAAGTGTGTCTCTGAATCTGAAGACTAATTGAAATGAAGTGCCAGCGAGAGATCCATTAGCAATAAAAACTGAGCGTTGCCGTCGAAGCACTGGTTCCCTGTACAGTTTCCATGTGTGCACCTATAATGAAATGTACCGCTGCTTATTCTAACACTAACACACGCGCCTGAACACTGAAAACCCTCCGACTGAAGGGACCGTTTGGGAAGTATTATATGAATTAAAAAAGATTAACACCACTCTTGTGCATGTAGATATGAAGCCGCTGCAGAATAATTCGATTTATCACGAAAAAAGCTTCCTTATAAGGCATAGTGCGTCCTCTGGGACCCTGGCATATTAGTTTAAACTGCCTTTATTTGTTAAAAAAGTTGTGTTTTATACAATGAATCAAGTAAAACTAAGGCTAGGTAGTATTATCCAGAGTATTTGGAAGTAAAAGTACTAATACTACACTTTAAAAATACTCTATACACCAAGAAGTCCCACATTGAAGTGCAATGCAATTAAAGTATAACATATTAAACTACCTGTTGTAGAAAAATGCTAATTAATTCTAAATGAATTTTAATTACCAATTGTTTCTCATGTCACTTGAATGCAGCACAAAATGCCTAATTTTGCAATGTTTACAAAAATAAAAACAGTAATTTCCTGTCCATATTTTAAACCCTTCTCCTTCATCGCGTCCCCCACCTGTCCCCTGAGTTTCATGACAATCAGACCGGTAGTTTTTCTATAATCATCCTTTCAAAACAAACAAAAATCATGGCGAGGGTTACAGAACATGCTAACAGTTTCCCTTTGATTCCAGTCACTATGCTAAGCTAAGCTACTGGCTCCAGATGTACAGCACAGACACGAGAGTGGTTTTAATCTGAATGTCGTTAAGCGAGTGAAGGGCGCTGTTACTGCAGGCCTTATTGTATCTCTAGACTCCGAGCTGTTAATGTACACTTTGAATGTTGCCGTCCTCCCTTTACTGTTTGTACAAAGACTTAAAGACACGTCCGCATGCTCCACAGGAATCATTCATGTAGTCCTTCTGGGTTCCTGAATGTGTGCCTTTGGGTCAATCCTCCTGGCAACAATCTGTGCACCGCTAACCCGTGCTAAGCTAACACTGTAAATACGCAGGTGTGATTTTCCACTGATGCATGGCTGCCCTTTAGCTACTCAATATGTATGTTTTCCTGCGTATGACTGTATATACCTACATGTTTGGTGATAGACTTGAAATAAACTATCAGACTTGTATTTCTTGTCATTTCTTTGTCGTAAAGAAATACCATTTATTCATGTTTTTGTCCTTATTTTCTTGTTTTCTGTCTGTAATTTAATGACCTCCAAGAGACACTAAATGACCTCCAAGAGACACTAAATGACCTCCAAGAGACACTAAATGACCTCCAAGAGACACTTAATGACCTCCAAGAGACACTAAATGACCTCCAAGAGACACTTAATGACCTCCAAGAGACACTAAATGACCTCCAAGAGACACTAAATGACCTCCAAGAGACACTAAATGACCTCCACGAGACACTAAATGACCTCCACGAGACACTAAATGACCAGAAAGAGACACTAAATGACCTCCAAGAGACACTTAATGACCTCCAAGAGACACTAAATGACCTCCAAGAGACACTAATGGCACATTTCCACTACACGGTCAGCCTCGGCCACGCTCGGTACGGCTTGGCCTTAACAGGGCCGGCTCACTTCATGCTGCGCTTCCATTACAGTTTAGGAACTGGGGTAGTTACTATCGTAACGCAGTGTAGGCGGAGCCGTGACGTCATCTTCAATGAGAACTCCAGAAACACAACACAGTGTGAAAAAAGGAAATCAAACAAGTCATAGAGCAAACAGTCAGAGTGATACGACACCGCTCAGGTAAGCTGAAGTCTTGGGTTCGATCCTCCTGAGGTGCAGGAGTTTTCAAAACCTCCAACCCAAAGTTGAGAATGAGTTTACCAAATGAAAGGTTTACCTCTCAGGTCAGATGGCTCAGAGGGACTCCTGCATAGATGTGGAGAAAGTCTGCCACTGAGTCTCCTCATGAAGTGCTGCAGACGGAGATCCATCACCTGAGCATCGCACAGCCTGCAGCAGCGCCAACAGAAGCACGTAGGACTTCATCTCCAAAACTTAAAACCTGTCTTTCATTTTCTGACTTCTAAATATATCCAGATTTTTTTCTAGCAGCCCTATGCGCCTCCTTTTACCCTCAATAACCTTTAAAATGAACTCTGACTATTTCAGGCCCGCAGCGTGAATGTAAAGAGCCAGATTGGGGGTTCCTACCAGGACATCAGCAGTCTGGAGATCACAGGTACTTTGTCCTATTTCCTATCTCCATCATTTTGTTAGACATGTTAGCAATTATATTTAGTTGTGGAAGAAATTGACTTTTTTTTAATGTCATTTTTCTTCAGGACCTATCCTCCCCTCGTCTCTCCACACAATCACCAACCTCCTCCAGCCAGCAGGGAAACTTCTCCTCTGCTCTCTACACACACACCACACACACACACACACACACACACACACACACACACACACACACACACACACATACACACACACACACACACACACACACACACACACACACACACACACACACACACACACACTCCTACCGCTGTCATGAACACACACACCACGGAGCAGCAGGTAAGACTGCCTTAAATGGAAGGCTCACATTTTGCCACATCTTATTTTCTTCCACTTTTTGATGAAATAAAAGCGATGGACGCTCACATCAGTTGGAGATACTGATGAGGGTTTATAAGGGGGTCACCCACAAAGCACTTTTTTAAATCATAGTGTGTTGAAAGATATGGAGAGAAAAGTCATTGCATGGCATTTTAAAATATGAAAAAGTATAGTGTACTTTTAGAATTTGCTCCACATGTATGCCCACTGGATGCCAGAAATGCTCCTGTGACTATGATGTGTGTGTATAGCTCCACCTGGTGGTCACTCACTGCACATACTCTCCCTCCTCCTGTCTGCAGAGCTCTGCCGGCTCCTCTGACCTGTCTGCCTGTGGCCTCCACCCTGCCTCCATCCAGCAGCTGATGCAGCCCTCCACCCTGCCTCCATCCAGCAGCTGATGCAGCCCTCCACCCTGCCTCCATCCAGCAGCTGATGCAGCCCTCCACCCTGCCTCCATCCAGCAGCTGATGCAGCCCTCCACCCTCCATCCAGCAGCTGATGCAGCCCTCCACCCTGCCTCCATCCAGCAGCTGATGCAGCCCTCCACCCTGCCTCCATCCAGCAGCTGATGCAGCCCTCCACCCTCCATCCAGCAGCTGATGCAGCCCTCCACCCTGCCTCCATCCAGCAGCTGATGCAGCCCTCCACCCTGCCTCCATCCAGCAGCTGATGCAGCCCTCCACCCTGCCTCCATCCAGCAGCTGATGCAGCCCTCCACCCTGCCTCCATCCAGCAGCTGATGCAGCCCTCCACCCTGCCTCCATCCAGCAGCTGATGCAGCCCTCCACCCTGCCTCCATCCAGCAGCTGATGCAGCCCTCCACCCTGCCTCCATCCAGCAGCTGATGCAGCCCTCCACCCTGGGAAAGACTGCTCTGAGCCACATCAGCATGATCAACTACAGCTACACCTGGAGAAGCTGATGG